TAACTAGTTTCACAAGTTTATTATGATCACTTAATTATGATCCAGTGCAGTAACAATTCTTCTTCATTATTATGGTGATTATATTCATTTAGGGTTGTATTTACATTCCTTAACAAGATAAGCAAAACCATGTTTATTTTCAGTTGCATGTTTTTTTTATTTATATAGATTTTGATCCTAAGTGATTTCTAACGATATTATCGTGATTCTTTTCTGATGTAATAGCTCGAAAATGACGAATTCGTCGCAACGAGATTTGAAAGTTATGAACTATAACTAAAGATTCAATTAATCGAAAATTCAATTCCTGTTGCTTTATTAAAACCGTTTTTATTGAATTTCACAACATGACTATTGTTTTCAGGGGTGGATCCAGGATTTTCTGAGAAAAGGGAGGGGTCTAAATGAACATATATCGGAGAGTCCTTCAAGGAGGGAAAGCTTCAGACGGAGCAAACATCACTCTGATAAGCTGAAGTTTGAAATCTCTCTTAAGCCACTTTCTCATATTTTTCATTAATTTTTGCCGATCAACCCCATTTGCAGATTATGAATAAGAAATTCGAATGTCCAATACTTTTTGCTACCAGCGAGAACATTCTTCCCTTCATTTGTGGAGCTGATTGATTTTGAAGTGATCCTCGGTATCAAATTATATCACGTACTGTACCCTGATGGACTAAAGAGAAGGACGGAAAGTTTGATAGCCATACTGGTGAATACGGTTTCTTCAAATGTTGGATTTTAAATCTATCATAATATTTTGGTAGAAAAGACACCTTACGGCTATCTTCAACATACTACAGACGGCCAACATCCAATCTTCATATAGCAATACGAATATTGATGGAAACAGAAAAGAAGTAAATATTTTTTATACCACCTGTATCTATACTTTACTCTTTATCTATATACTAGCCGATGGTAAATGCTGATTAATTTTCTTCTGAAAGTTATATCTAAATAAGTGTTTAGTTAATTAATCATATAATAGTAACAATATAGATAATGTTTATCCTTTTTCTAGTATTTCAGGAAAACAATTATTTTAGTGTATTAGGTCATCTCCTGTAAGTTGTGCTGGACCATAATTTTGTCTTATGTATATTTTCATGTTAGGTTCAAATGTTCTTCTTGATAAATCCATATGAAAAAACTGGCTGTCGAAGAAATATTCCTACATGGTCAAATGTCTGACTCTGCGATTTACTGATTGTAATGGCAAAGAATTTGAAGGTGGAGAGAAAATGCACGAAGGGATAACTTTTCCTAAAAAATACTTCTTGACCAAATTTTTAAAAATCTCTTTTGTAAGATGAACAATATTAATAATAATTTATTACAGCGCCATCTATTGGGTTGAGAAGATGTTTAAGACAGACACTGGTGTTTTGGTGTAATATGAAATGATCCTTGATTTAATCTACAACGGTATTCGTATTTCTTTGAATATTCAAA